ATACAGTTATGGTAGAACATACTCAACATATGCTATGTTCAGCTCATATGTAAATGCAATACCATAACTATGTAATATACTATGCGTTTCTAACAATTTCATTTCCTATAACCGTTCCGAAGGCTGTAAAAATATATTGCCCATGTTAGTGGTACAAGGAATGGTCAAACCGTAGTAAATGCCTACCTGTAGGAAAGGCTGTGTACCGTTAGACGTTTCCGAGAAGGTCATACGCAGTAAAACTTCGTTTAAATTTTTTGCTTAAGCTCGGTACGAGGCCAGTTCGTCACAAATAGGGTGTTGTTATTCCGAGAATTTAGAATATTTTAGAAGCACTACTTACCTTGGATTTAAACACGATATACGTAAAAATCTAGATTTGGATTATAATATATGTTATACTATAAAATACGTTTTTATAGTCATTAAATAAAAATACTATTATATTTGTTCATGCAATCAAGTTATCCCAGATAGTTTAAGATGACTGTTGTAAGAACTATGTTGTAAAAACAGACTCCCCGTGACCACGGCTGCTGCAAAGCATCCGAAACGTCGGGCCGTACTTAAAAATAATTTTCAAACAAGTTTAACTAAAATATATCGCGTTTTAAACCGTTAAAGTATTTTATTTAAAAAAACGGTATTCATCAAAAAGGTCTTTATCTTTTTTGCTATAAAATCACAAACTAATGTGAGGTTGTTACGCATAATGAATATTTGTATAGCTCGTTGTTCTAACTAAAAAACCGCTTTTAACGATTTAAAACGTGAAATATATTACTAAACTTATATTTATTTTAACCGCGGCACGACATTCAATTTCAGTGTCACCGTGACCACGGCTGTTGCAAAACATCCGAAAAGTTAGGCCTTGATTAAAATAATTTAAAAATAATTTGGCTAATATATTTCGCGTCTTAGACCGTTCAAAGTGTTTTATTTACGTAACACAATCTAAGAAGTTATAAAAACGTCATTTTATGATATATATGACATTGTATAATACTCATATTGGTCATTGTATGTTTAAAAAACTCAATAATTCATTCTTTTCCTTATGACTTAAAAATGTAAGGTATTTTAACAATTTAGCTAACAAGAATTTGTTCATATTGAAGGAAAATTGATTTTCCTTTAACTAATGTCCACGTCATGTTTAATAAGTAATGTTATACTTTGACCTATAAATATTTATTTTGTCCAGTTTAGATTGTGAAACTATAATTATAATAGAATTAATGTTCATATGATAAATATAAGTCATTATATAAAGAATAATTGTGATGGTTTGCAAACTACCCGCAGTGTATCGTCGTGTTAAATTTCGTACCTACCTAAAACCTCGGATTAAACTATTGAAAGATGAATTTGTATACTGTAGTAAATAGCTTTAGAACTCCTCACAACTGTTTTATTGTAATTGTATTCACTAGTACTTAAGTACAGTCACTATATACTTGCGTCATATAAAACTTAGTAAAAATTAACTCTGTGGTTAATTAATAGTAAATACTTACAAAAATCGCTTTTAATGATTTTAAACGCGAATCTTAGTTATTTTTTGCGTTTTGAAGTTTACGCGAGACATACACATCACAAGAGCCTTTTAAAACTTTATTATTTTTTTACATGTACACATGAAGGCACTATATAATTTCTAAAGCGAAGATAAACTGAAAAAAATTCGGGCAGGACTTGAACCGGCATCGTCAGCGTTCAGAGCAACAGCACAGGTTCAAGTCCAGCCCGAGTCGAAATTTTTTTCAATTTATTTTCGATTTTTAAATTACTTTACCTTATTTATAAAATATTTTAATTATTGTCCGACGATAAATACATTTGGTGTTATAAGCCGTTAAAAGTGAAGTTCGTCTGACTAATGTCGAACAGATCTATGTGTCAAACGACGTTACATGAGGCGTTAGAACAAACATTCCACCCACTTTCTGGTGGCGAATCCTTACAAATGAGACCAAAATGTTGACAGACACAAAAACAAGGCCGACAGGGGTGGTGTCAATAGCTAGAACAAATAGAGATGTTTGATGAACGAATTACGTGACAAGTTTGTTTGCGGATAATGAAAAAAACGTGGGTACAAGCAGCGGATGTAGGGAACAGATGTATCTCAGATTCGAAAGCTGATACGGCTTAAATTTGCCGGGTACCTACGCAATTTCTTTAACCGTTTAGCGTAGATTAGGAAATATGTAATTTGAGACGAAAAGATGTGAAATTAACTTTTTCATACGAGAAAAGGTATGCCTGTGACTGTTTATATTAATTTTATATGTTTTAAATTGTTTATCTGGTTAGGTCTATAATAATAAATCTTTTATTTCAAACATTTACAGTACTCTGTGTTAGTATGTTTATCTATGCATCTTTATGTAATTTTTTTTATCCAATCAACCTGATTCTATAGGAACAAGAAGAAGGCTCATCTTGTACTAGTGTTTACGATTCAATTTTTATAATATATAGGTATTAATGGATAAAAAATATTCACAATACATCTTTTGATAAAACTAAAAACAAAATACGAATTCCCGTTTCCCTTCGTACAGCATTCGGCAAAACACATTTTTGTATGCTTTTTACTAATGTGGATTATTACGAGCAAGTAGTTGATCTGACTTCTGTTCCCCGCCCAAAAAACAATCTATTGTTTGCCTTAGATTTGAACCTAAAACCAATCGCGATTAACGCAATGCAACATGTTTAACCATATAGCTACAGATGCGGTCAACAAATAAAAACAAATTAGACGACGAGAAATCCACCAGTTTCTTTCTAACTACTGTATCTTAGTAATCGATCATTTCGTTTTTGTGTAAGTATTGAATCCTTGTGTGTATATAAAGATAAACGAAATAAGTTGATTTGATTTAAAAAACCACTATCAAACATCAAGATAAAAATATATCGAAATTTCTTAGAAAAAAATAAAAGACAATATTTAAAAACATAACCGTTTGACAAGCGTCCTCGTGGGAACCGTGATTCCACCCTCGGACTCGGGTTCGACTCCGCGTCGCGTGACCAATAGGGTGCGAAAGTGTTCACGTATCCGGAATTCATTTTATTATTTATTCACTGTTGTGTTGGCGGCGGTTAAGATGTGATTAAACTTAGGTAGGTAGATTATGTGCAATTGTTGATTATAAGTTTTATTAGTGTGATGGTGTCTTTGAGACGTTTTAATAAAAGTGTGTTTGATTAAAAGATATATAAAATACTTAGAAGTTCTCCGAGCTAACAGTAGGATAGATTATTTATCATGAGTTATTAACATACTTAAATGATTATCAAAATTCAAGTCAAATTAAATTAAAATTAGTTTATATAAGGTTACTTTGAATAAAATCATTGCTTCTACAAGATTTACAATGTCTATGTAATATCCTCTATATTTTAAATAATTTTTAGATATTTCTTGTTACTTACATTAGATTAGATTAGATTTTGGAAATGAATTCACACTCTGATAAATAAACTATTATAATTATTAAAAAAAAGTTTAAAACTAGCGTAAAATTTGCGATATAAGAAGTTACTTTAGTTAGAAACAATTTTAATTATATAAATGGTGTTTTAAACCGTCAAAGTGTTTTATTTAAACATAAACTAACCGGCAATATATCTATAGACACCCAATCATTTTAATTTATTGAAAGTACTATAAATTCTGCAGGAGCCTAGCTATTTCATAATGCTGAAACGGCCTAACATCTTTTTAATTACTCATTACCCATTTATGCGCAGGATGTCACATCAATCTCCTCCTTTAATTTACTATTCCTAAATCACTTTAAACTAATAAGTCATAAAGTTTTAATGCGCTTAAGCAAATAAAAAAGGCGTCACTTATAGTCATTCCGCGATAATTGAAAATTGTGTTTAAATGAGTAGTTTAAACACGGGGGCGTCACAGGGATTATCTGTCCCGGGGGAGGGAAATGCCCAAATCTATCAAGTGCGGAGGGATTTCATTTAATTCACCCCTTGCGTGTTGACAGTTATTTATTGAAGACTATAATATCCATTAACGCTGGTGTAGCTGTTTCATTTTTGCATCCAGCTCAACTATGTTTCTTCTTAAAATATACTTGTATTATGGTACCTTGGTATTATGGTAGTCTAGTGTATTTAAAACTGTGTGTATTGCTTTGTATCAAATTATATACCATCTATTTTGATTAGTTCAAAATTAACATTTAAAGATTCACAATTTTAGGCAGATTCACGAGCTTCATTCTAAGGCGCGTTGAATTCTATTGTACGATAATCTCTGATGCGTATTGCAACAGATCGAATTTTGGCAATTGTGTGTCATGAAGAGGGTTGATTCAGGGTGGAATGGAACAAAACAGCATGTTACAATTTTAACGCGTCGTTTATTGATAACTTTATCTTCTTTCAATATACTTTTGTGTCCACTGACTAAATAACACTCACTGTACATTTTCGTATTACAATATTTTAGTCTTTCGAGGCTCTATAACTTTCGATTCGATATAACAAATACTTTGTACAACACACGACGGGCGTCCGAGTGTTCGCCGTGGCACGCTTAACGCTATCTATCTACTCGTTATCGACTAACTTCAACGTCTCTAGCTTTAACACTATATTTACAGCTCGATCGAAATTTTTTTGGTATTCAAATAATCTCTTTCACTACGTCGTCTCACACGCGAACATCACTCCGCCGTCCTCGCGCACATCTCATAATTAACTTAAACCATGGAAAAATACAATAATCGTAATATAATACAAGATCAATCAACAACATTAAACCGAGGCCGGCCGACGGCGACGGCCGAGAGTCAACAGTCCGCTCAACACTAACGGAGCCGATAAACAAATAAATCGACATACCTAGAAGTATGTTCGGCCGGGGAAAACGATCACTGAGCTGGCCCGGGGGCCCGGGGCCGGCGTGCGACGCGCGCTCATAGCGGCGGGATGTCGATGTCGCACGCAAACGGCGACTCTCAGATGAGCGGCATCGCGCGCTCGCCCGCCGCGTACCGCTGCTCGTCGGGCACGTGGTACATGTTGATGATGTGGCTGAGGTCCTGCTGCCCGTACTCGCGCTTCATGGCGAGCTGTTCGTGCGGGTGCGCCTGCCCGCCCACGTGCCCGTACTCCCGCTTCAGCTGCGCCGTCGGCTCGTGGACGAACTCCCTCTTCAGGCCCGGCGGCCCGGGAGACACGGGTTCCGACTTGGCCGACGAGCCGCTGGGTGAATGCGAGGCGCAGGACGCCGGCAGCGCGTAGCCCCCTGGCGAGCCCGGGCCCAGCCCGTAGGCGGACGGGGACGGCGGCTGCGGCAGGTAGGGTGAGCCCTGGCCACCGCCGTAGTATCCGCCGCCGTAGCCGCTCTGCTGCATCTGCGACACGTCGTAGCGCGGGTAGCCGTACGCCTGTTGCTGGTATGCGCTGGGGTCGTGCATCATGTAGCCGTTGGGCATGTACCCGTTCGGCGTCATCTGGTATACGTCGCGCGGCTGTTGCGCCGCCGGAGCGGACGTTCTTTGCACGTCACTGGCACCGAGCAACGATCCACCTCCCAGCGGGTACTTCTCCTGCTTCTTGGCCAACGTCTTCGTTTTCCGCCTCGGCCTGTATTTGTAATCCGGGTGTTCCTTCATGTGAACGGCGCGCAATCTCTTCGCCTCGTCGATGAAAGGTCGCTTCTCGGACTCGGACAAGTCCTTCCACTGTGCGCCCAAGCGTTTCGATATTTCCGAATTGTGCATTTTGGGATTGTCTGAAGCCATTTTCCTGCGTTGCCCGCGCGACCACACCATGAACGCGTTCATCGGTCGCTTGACCCGTTCCGCGTTGGAGTTCTTGCTCGTGGTGTTGTTGTTGTTGTTGGGCGGTTGATGGTGTTGTGGCTGGGGCTGCGCGTGGTGCTGCGGCAGCGGTTGGTGCTGATGGTGTTGCAGCGGCTGATGTTGGGGCAGCGGCTGCTGCTGGGGCAGCGACATCATGCCGCCGAGCGCGCCTAGCGAGCCGTAGCCGTGCTGCAGCGCGTGATGCGGCGGCACCGTCGCATGCAGGCTGCCGCCTTTGAGATCCGTCTCCATCGTCAGCATGTCGTCTTCCTGCGGCGCGTACAGCTTGCCGATCCTTGGTTCACTGGCACAACAAGAGAACTGTCGGTCGCTCACATGGACTCGGGCGCGTCGGGTGCGTCTCGCGATACCGTACGGCGCGAGGGCTACGTGCGTTGTGAGGTGGCCGACGTCCGGGCGGCGGCGACTGCGGTCGCCCCCCGCGCGCGGCGCCCCCGGCCCCGCCCGTCCGCCTCGCCCGCCAATGGGAGCGCCGGACGTAGCCCCGCCCCGCCCGCGCTCTGCCACCCGGCGCGCCCTGCATTTTTAATCGCGCGGCGAGCGAGGCGACCGTCCGGCTCGTCTGCGCCGCCTCATGCAAATCGCTCCGCTTCCCGGCGGCGATGATCCATCTTGACCTTACTCTTATTCTGGAGACGTTCATCTCGTTGTCGATCTGAGATTTGAAATAACTCGCACGTCGCTCTCTCGATACAATCTCGACGTTCGTTGTTACTCTCACCCCTCGAAGATAAAAGCGTTTATATATTTTTCTATTTCCGTGTCATATGTTCCGTGTCATGTCATCTGCATAATCAACTATACTATATTACTTATATTTTTATTTTACTTGTAATTACTCGAATACTGGCTATTAATTTTATAGTATAAAAAGCTACGAATTAAATAAAGCAATAAACTTAAATACACGAAACTGTTAATATGAAATTAATTTACGCATTTCTCTGTTTGACGGTATAGTTTGCACAGTTGGCGTTGGGGTCAAGGCTTTGAAACTGATAAGAAACATGGCAACATTGTTTTGGGGAATCATTGATGATCGCTTACCTCTTTGTTAGGGGCTAACAATAGCAACCACTTCTACTCATTCAATTGTTGCATAATGTATAAACAATAATATTGATTCTTTTAAGAATTGAGGTCTAATTGTCAGTTGACACTATGCTAACGGTATTTTGTTCATTTAATTCTTTACTTTGTGAGTGTTTTTAGCTGGTAACACTCAAATATATATGTGGTTTTCTTTAATTATTCCTAATTTAACAATTCCGTGGCCCGAAAGACGTTGGGTTTGAATCCCAGGCAAACTTTACTATTTCTGACCGGACATCGAAGTCTAATTCTTGTAAATTAAATATAAAACAAACACTGATATAGACACATATACCAAATGATATTTCAATGTCAAAGTTAATCTTAAGCAATCTTAAATACTTACATTAATGCCAATTTCGAAAATGTATTAAGATATAAAGTAAGCTTTATTTTTTCAAGATTATGTAATTTGTACTATGTTGTCATTGATGACCTAACTGTATGTATGTATCTGACGTGGGTTTAAATTTTTAAGATCTATTTTAGTGGGATTTTAATAAATTCGATATTTTCAGTTCAAAAAGGTTTTTTAAGAAGAAATTTAAGATTCCTTTTTACTACTTATTACTCGATGTTTTATACTTTATTTTGGCGGTGAGTACAAACTGTTTAAACTAGGTACATGAAATTGTGTAATAGTGTTTTGTTGAGGATAGTAGGTATCTAACGGTGCAACCGAGCACTTAAAAGAATCTTTTATACTGTAAAGAAATAGTCCTAAGTGTTGAGTAAGTAAGATATATAAATAAATGTATGTTGCTATTGCCATCTAAATAATACTTGCGTATACCTACTTATGTGTTTCTATTATATTCAACTAACATCTTGTTAACTAAGATTAGCAAAACAACACAAGTTTTATCACTATCAAATGGTAATATCGAAATAACGGTAAACAGTTAATAAGCTCAAACAAAAGACTCACTCAGGTACATTTCCAGGAACATAAGATAGATTCTAACACCCAGAAGGATCTTTTGTTTTTAAAATTCCAGTAACTGCTATCTCTTGTTACTTTTACAAATAACATTTGTAAATTAGGCGGCAGTTTTGATAATGGACGTGCAATAAAACTCACCCTAATTACTATAAAGTTAACGCGAGTAGTCCACACTTTAAAATAAACCAAATTAAAGGGTTTAAAACGCAAAAAAATAAGTGAACTTTTTCTTACTATGATCTAATATTTCTTTCACTTAACAGCAGTCATGGAGCCTTCCGTTACGTTAAACGTCGGGTCAAAGTTTAAAATAAGTTACCTAAGATATGCAGCATTTAAAACCGTCAATTGTTTTATTCAATATGTTTACCTAATTGACTTCAGATGATTTATTACAAAACTTAGTAGGTATGAGTTCTATAATACATAGTCTAGTACCGATGTGTGATTTTGTTTCAAGAATGCTATACTGTATGTTATGATGAATTAAATAATTACATTGCTTCTATAAGTTTAGTAACCATTGTAGTAATAGTTCAAGACCAGGCAATTTGATTATTGCACTACTAATCAGTGAAACATATCATAGGACAAACATTAATCCTATGTATCTAGAAGGATAAGAAAGGAAGGGAACTAAGGTATATAAATAAAACAGATATTGCCAGTTATAAAACATTTATTAAACTAAAGTTTACGTTTATTAAAATCACAAACATTTTGGGGGTTATATTAATTGTAAATAAAATTTCCACATTCCTATTTCGGTATATAAGTATTTAAAATATTTTATTTAAGTTGTCCGAAGCTTATTCTAACAATTTATCTAAGAAAAATTTGTTTTAATACATTTTAATATTTGGTGTGTGTGATTTACAAACATATTAATAATGATGTTAGAAACAATTGAATCCCTCCCCGTGAGGTCTCAGTGATAGCTGCTGTCCGAAACGTTGACATCACTGATATATTTCGTGTTTTAAACTGAAAAAGTGTTTAATTTTAACAATTGAATCGCTGCCATACAAACTATGAATTGCACTCAGTGCTAATTTAAGTGCGTTGAAAATATCGGTTTCTGTTGGCAAAAAAAATTCACACCACTAAGTGAGATGCACTAGTGACAACGCATCGCGAGTCATCCAATAATTGCTGGTGTTAAATAAAAACGAGCATCAAACACTCTAGGCGTCCTAATTGGCGCGAGGTGTCACTAATGACAAGCGCCGAGTGGCGCGAGTGTCGCTGCAAATTAATAATTATAACGCCTGGCAACACTGAGGTGACGCGACGCCGCAATATGGCCGCCGCGCATTGTTGGCGCGAATAGTGGCTTAATTTCCCAATTATCAATTTGTCGTAATTACTAATTTGCAGTTTTAATTGAGTTTTTAATACAGATATCCATTATAAGGGCTCTGGCTACTAATTAATGTTCACTGCGACGGGCAAAATTTAATAGGTACTTCGTTTTAATTTTAATATTTTTAATACCCCGCAAGGTAAGAATTTCATTCTTGTATTTTATGTATCTGAATAGAAATTTAAAGACGTGTTATTGAAAATTTTGACTGAGTCTAAGCTACATTTAAAACCTTACCAAGGTTTTAAATTTAGGTTCTAATAGGTAATGCCTAAAATGTACTAAGACCCTACAGCAAAATATAATAAGTAAAACTAAGAAATAATTAAGAAGAAAATATGTCTCTGCGCATTTTTTGAGTAAAATGCTTATTAGGTAAAAAGGAAAAGTGAAAAATTATAAAGTGTAAAATGTATACAAATGTATAAGTCATTATAATTGTATAACTATTGATGTACAAAGGTCGTTAGCTTATTTATACACGTTACCCATGACTATAGTAAGTGCGAGAGATTACAGGTTTGAATCCCGGAGATACGATAAATAGCTTCAGAAGTACCTATAATTGAAAATTTAAAAATGGATTAAAAACGGACACAGAAATATGTCCCTTTCATTTCTGAAATGGATGAAACGAGTTTTCACTTTGTTATTGTTGTATTAAAAAGTTCGTAGCGAAGTTTAAGCCCACATAAACCTTATATTAGACTGGACAGGAGAGCAGTGAACACAAACAAGACGCATACACAAGTGCGATCTCGACTCTTGAAAGGGGGGCCTCCCCCTTCGACATTCTACACATCGAAGTACATTTAGAAGACGCTGACTCTTAAGTGTCGCCTAAGCTAAAACATACTACACTTGGAACGTTCTGTTATTGTAATTTGGAAAAAAATAAAATTCAAATATGTTGTGTTGAAAACCGTTAAATCTTTTTACTTTATTTAATTGTAACTATAGTACCTACTATTCGCGTAAACTACGCATGGCTTATTTGAAAAAAAATAAGAATATATTTTGTGATAGAGGAGAACAAATATGTATAAGGTTTACGTGATGGTGGGCGAAATACTCCAGTCATATAACATCGCAGACATCCACAGACTGAAACTGAAACACGATTAAACTTAACTCACTCTCATCTATGGTTCGTGATCTGGACGTAATTCAACATTCCTACCTTCTTATTTTGTTTCAACTAATCATTTTAATTCATTGCGTAGTACATAAGTACATAAGAATAAAATTAAATAACACCTTTAACGGTTTAAAACGCGAAATAGTTTAATCAACTTATTTACAAATTATTTTTACTACAGTCCGATGTTTCGGATGCTATGTAGCAGTCGTGGTCCCCCCGTCACCACAGCCTTTATATTTAACGTTTTAAACCGTTAAAAGAGTTTTATTTAATTGGATTCTTATGTACTTACCTACACGCAATTCATTAAAATGATTAGTTCTGTACTACTACTCCTATAAACTATTGACACTTCTAATATTAGTTATTATTGACATCTGTGCACGATGTTTAGTTTCTTTATTACTGTCTTTGGTTTTAGCACAACTTTTGAATCGTTAGACAGTTATTTAACAGCAATTTAGTCGCAAATAATGAAAATATTGCATTTATAATTAACCCCCACAATCTTTGTAGACTTCTTATGATTAAATGATGCTCTGTCTTTAACATGATGTAATATTGACCAGTCTCCCTGTGACCACGGCTGCTGCAAAGCATCCGAAACGTCGGGCCGAAGTTAAAAATCATTATCAAATAAGTTTAACTAACAAATATATCGCGTTTTAAACCGTTAAAGTGTTTTATTTAAATGATGTAATATTATAGCTACGATATATTTACAACTATAAAGACTCAATGTTCAAGACGAGATTATATATTTAGTAACTACTGAAAGCTAAATAAAAGTTGTTCAAGCTGAAATGACACATTCAAATCTAATGAATCGTTCATTTGGATCCGGTTTTTTTCTTACTTTCTTGAAAGAATTAAACCCACCAAAAAATAAGTCACTGTTGCCTTTACAGAGTAAAGCACGTCTGACAGTTACAGAGTATAAAAGACACTCGTTTAATTAAGGTTTTATTCTATAACATGACTAAAATTATTTACAAAAATGTTCGCATAGAAAAAAGGCATTTTATTTACCGGCCATTCTGCATCCATTTGCATGATTGAATATGCGCTCGCTTTCACAATTTACAACCTTTTTTACGAAACTTTTAAATTACTTGAAACGTTTATTATAAAAAAAAAATAAAACTAAATAAATAAAACAAGAAATTCTCTACATCAAAAACAAGATATTCTTATGTATGCGCTTTAGAAAAATTAGAAAAAACAAGATACACTGAGGCGTATTTTAATTGCGCGTTTTAGCCTATTTACGCGAGTTGAATGACATTTACGAGATATATTAAAGTTATTTTGCGTTCTGTATTAAATTCGCTTCGGGTAACGTTTGAATAGGCGGAGGAGATACATTATCTGGGAGAGGGTCGAGCGAGGTCGGGGGCGGGGGGCGCTTCCGGCCACTGTCTCCGACTCATCAGGCCTATCTTGGAGTCGAGCCATCCGCAAATTAAATGGTGACATGCATTGAGCTGTGTCTCGGCTTAGGTGAAGTGTACACACCCTTTGTTTCACTCTGAATGAGACGCTGACGTGATTAGTTTAGCATTAACTATATAATAAATAAAAACACACATAAGAGTAATTCATATAACAATTTCATTGAATAAAACACCTTTAAGCAGGCTTTAAGATTTGGTCGCAGTTCGACATCAATTTAAATCAAACGTTTAAAAGTGTTTTATTTCAAAAACATTAATATTCTCACATGATGGCATTATATAAATCGATCTTAGATTGAAAAATTTACAATTTTAGAGTAACAGCACGGAGCGCTATGAACGCCGGTTCAAGTCTGGCCCGTGCTGTAAATTGTTTCGATCAAAAATCGATTATGAATTTATTTAATACATACGCATCTGTAGTTTACAGAGTTCAACTTAAAAACCAAGTTCTTAATTATAAGCACAGCTTAAAGCTGAAATTCAAATATCGATGTCCAAGTGAACTATTGACTATTAACTACTGTGTTTAAATAAGTATATAACCTCTAGCAATAATTAATTTCTGTCATTCTATTTTCTAATTTAGGTTTAAAAAGATGTTGAATCTTATGTTTAGTCTAACGTAGAGATTATAAATAGGTATTATAAATAGGGGATTATAAGGTACAATAACATTTATACCGTGTAAATTACAAACTATATCGCATACCGGTTCACTAAACACTAAACGCCTCTTCACTCCGCGCGAGCCACTCTCGCACCCGCCGTAGCGCATTGCGCGCGCACTCCACCGCTCCGCGCGCAAAGCACACAACTATCGAAATTTCCACAAGGAAAACACGTTTTCCGCGACTAAGCGTGCGAACGTCGCGATCCCGATGCCCAGACTAAACGCGGGCCATGAAAAAGCACCGCCACAACGCAGCCCGACAATGGAAAGCGGCGAAGAATCATAATAATAACAATGACAACAATATGAGATGCTATAAAGAGCTGCTCTATTGTGCTGGCTCGGTTCAGAAGGGTCGCGCGAGATCGATACTTGGCGGATTGTCTGTGGATTCCGTGCGTGAGCCTTTGTGGGGCGGCCACGGTCTGGGCGATCAGCGCCGCGTCTAATCAGCCGTTTCGTATCTGCCGATGGCGATTGTCGGGTGTTTTGAGTTCGTTGAGACTTCTAAGGTCCGTAAAAAGACGAGATTGTCTATTTAGAACTCTCGAAGAGTTATATAAGCAATCATTTTTTCAATTTTAATGACTTGAAGGACAGGCAAGCATGGGTTCGAATAAGGATAGAAGGTATCAAATCTATATAACAAATCAACAAGCGATGTCGACTTATTTTGGCTTCTTAATTTGGTTCTGAGATCAATCTCTCAGCGAATGTCTATTTCCAAGCACAACAAAAGCTGAGTAGGTAATGTGTGTGTAGCATACTTATTTCATTGTATTATATTTATTTTTCTTATTGTATGTGAAATAAATATAAATGATTTGATTTGATTTCATTACTACTTCCGTATTGTCAACAGTTTACGCGATAGTAATCATAACGGTTTTAGACGCAAAATACATAAGTTAACATGTTTACAATTTGTTTTAATTAAGGTACTAAAAGTACTTTATAGTAGCCGTGGTCTTGAGGTAAGACCTTACGGCTTTTTCATCTGCCGAATATTCAGCCGAAAATTCAATATTTCTCCACCATTTAATATCCACATTTTCGAAAAGAACATCTTACGTGTTAAATACTGTCTATAGTTTACGGAAGTAGTACACATTTAAATAAAACACCGAGTTCCCTGACACGGCTGCTGCAAAGCATCCGAAACGTCGGGTCGAAGTTAAAAATCATTTTCAAATAAGTTTAACTAATATATCGCGTTTTAAACCGTTTAAGTGTTTTATTTAAATCTTACGTGTTTCGAAACAATTACATATGCATTTGTAGAAACTCGCATATCAATAAATATTTAAAATGTCTCGTTTGTACATTTTGTACATGATATTTCTCTGAGCCTGTTTCACTGATTGTCTTAACTGTAAATCTTTAGATACAGACTTCTGTATCTGAATTATTTTACAGGAACCAGGACGAGGAGACCACACGAAACAAAATGCTAGACAAACTGTTTAATTTGTATATATTTTGAAGTAGGCGTGATATGTATATACATTAAATGAGATTCTAATTAGAAACCTTTTCTGCTAAACCACTCAGTTTTTACTCTGTCGCGAGGGTAGTTTTCATATTGCTTCAAACAAGGACGTCTTGTCGCTTAAGAGAGCAAATTGGTTGGCTTTTATGATAATAATCATTTATATTTATGTTTTATCGTAACACCACAGAAAATAAATACAAATCAGTGTAATATAGAAGTCTGATTTTTTTTAACAATATATTTACATATTTTTTTTTTTTACAGTAAGTAAAATAATGGAAATCTGAAAATTAAATGAGTGGTATATTTGAAATATTTGAAATCCGTCCGGGTCACGAACCTTCCGCACGTGAAAAAGCCGTCAAGTTTAATCGCGTTTCGGTTACATCCTGTGGATGATTTAAAAATAGAAAATAAATTGAAAAAAATTTCGACTCGGGCAGGACTTGAACCGGCATCGTCAGCGTTTCGTGCTGTTGCTCTACCAATTGAGCTACCGAGTCCTACACCTCATCGTCGAATTTTTTTAACTTATTGATACATGCACCTCTCGCGCAATGTAATTTCAACCACCGTTAAAATGTTTTATTTAAATGTGTACTACTCGCGTAAACTATAGACAGTATTTAAAAATATATCTGCCATTTTAAACTTCTGAGCTTGCTGTTCCTCTCCCCTGCCCCCCCTCTTGGGTACGCCCGTAATAATTGGTAGATAGTGAGTTTTAATGATTGTGTTTATAAAAACATCTTCCACTCATGACATAGGAACACCGCTAGGTGAAGGTGTAAAGTGTCGGTGCCTTCGTAATGTAATAATCCGACGTTCGACCGTTATCATTAGCCCGATCGATCGTCCCCCGCCGTTCTGCAGATTGCGTTTGCGCACTCTCTTATTGTGGATATTACATTTATTATAAGACGGTATTTCTGTCAGAAGTAATATTGAGGATTACAGTTATGTTGGCTAGAAGTTTGGTGAGGTCAGAGCCTTCATTTTAAAAAATTCGTCAAATGTCCCCGGTCATATGGGTACGGGGTCAAACGTCATTTGACATTTGACGTGATTGACGTTTAAGTTTAAAACTTAGACTTAGATAAACAAATCATTATAGAGATTTTTGGGGTCATAGGGTTTCATTAAAGAAAAACATTTTTTTTTATAATTAAAAATATTTCCACGACTTTCCTTACAATTGTTATACGATCAATTTGTAAACATTTGGTGCAAGTTGAGGAATTATCCATAGCTTGTGATTATCTAGCTTAATATAATTGGTCGGCGCGGGCGCAGAGAGAGCGCCCCGCGGCGTGCGTCCATCACCAATGCGCGCGCACCAATTAAACTCTATCGACTATAATCCAATTATTCAAACTGCAACTAATGTCTTTGTAGTTACATTATCACTAATTTCCTTGTACTGTGACAAATGTTTTAAGTAGTGCTGACGATCTTATTATGTAAAAAAAATCAGTGGACATTATTGTTCCTACTAGGTATTTTAAACCATATTTAGGTTTTTTTAAACGAGCCACTCCAAATTTAATATATATTATATGTGGAATATCGTATTTGTTTCTTAAATCACGATCTACTAATCCACAAATGGAAAAACCGAGAAGTGTGAATTCTATTTCAGTCTCCATATTTCAAATGCCAAAATAGGTAGACAACACATCTTGCTTGATCTTCCATCAAGCACGCATACGTGGTAGGCGTAAAAAATGAAAGAACGGCGCGTCGATGTAACCTACCCGTTAATTTACAGCATTTTTAATTAAACACGATGACTAAGTGTCGAAGTCGATCACAGTCGGCCTATTATTAATTAATATTTTGATCGATCACGCTTCATCTTGCATCGAGCCGAAATCTTTCCTAACATCATTAATATTCGGTTAATTGCATAACGCTGTGAAAAGTTCGCGTTTGGAACGGACAGGTAATTCTGATACAGAATAATACGCCATAATATATAAGTACTAGATGTGCCCGCGACTTCGTCCGCGTGTAATAGTTATTTTGGCATCATATTTATTTTTGCAAACCTTCTCGGCTTTATAAGCAGCCTTTACTACGACGTTGGTCGCGTCCTGACGTTCTTGCGAGTTTATCTTATGTACTGTCGCGGACATTTTTTTTAGATCAGTTAAAGAGGAATTATTATTCCTTATTATTTGGGTATCTCACCACTTCGTAGCGAACGCAACGGAATCCCTCAAAGATAAATGATTGTGCCCATGTTTTCTACATTTCTCTCTGATTCTTCGCTCCTGTTGGTCGCGGCCTGATGTTTTAATAGCCTTCCTCGATTGGTGGTGCAATCAACGCAAAAATATTTTTCAGTTCGAACCATCACTGTCATCATGTTTTAAAACGAACAAACAAACTCTTCTAATTTATATCATGCTATCATGTGCGCAACATGTGAAGAATATTAAAAGCTTTCAAACAACTAGGTCTTGTAATCTATCGTTAAAAAGAACTCAAAGTGAAGCACAGGAAAATAAATTGTAAACTTAGGATTCGTCCTGCTAATTCCCCAATAGATTTTCGCAGGAACCGGCTAAAACCTGAACCAAAATCCATCCCTCAACAAGTAATTCCCGGATTACAAATAAATAGCCTCTTCGTGGAAATCGATAATCCGTTTTTTAAAGATCTCGCGATGGTTCTTATCGATTAGTCTATGCTTAGATCAAAGGTGCCGCGGGTTATTTTTTGCGTCCGTTTGCGATAAGACTGGGGATTTAGCATCTCTCCGTTTTCGGGGGCCATTTAACAATGGTCTTCCGGGTAGTGTGCAGTTGCGTTAGCGGATTACCACGGATCGAGTTCGAGGGAATGTATCGAGTATTACTTATCTTTCTGCGTTTAAATATACGTGTATTAAAACTATTTTAACAGCAAGTAATAGCGCAAATACTTTCAAAATTAAAATGTGAAATATGATCAGTGGTGTAGTGGTAGCAATGTACGGCTAATAATCATCGGATTGTGAATTCTATCCCCACCGAGGCCAACATTTTTATAATCAATTTATAATTATTCTGGGACATGATGGACTTCATCTAGAATTACGCTATTCATCGCGTTTAGGTTTGAGTCTGTGGACTTACAAATAACCAAAGCGAAAATGGGTCTACGGTGCATTTTTATAATTGACACCTTTAGAGGTGCCCAAACCGGGGTTCGTATTAAACTATAAGAATCTTGAAGATTACATATATATAAAAACTCTAACATCATTTATTTAATGTTATTTAACACCAACGACGAATGTAAAACAAGAGATAAAAAAGCTTACTATTATTATATGAAGGAGGAAAATACAGCATTAACCTAAAAGGTAGTTAAAGCTAGAACATTCGGAATATCGATAAGTAACACCCAGATGAGGTCAGCACATTTCTGGCGCGATCGCGGCGTGATACAGTCGACGTATCGATGCGATCTCGCTGACTCAGCGATATCGATAATTCGAACACTCCGTGAACTGTCCGGCCCGTGAAGGGAACGCTGGTACCCGATGTGTTATTTGCTTTTTACGATTGAAAGCCTATTTTATAGTACTTTAGTAGTAATATAGTAACTCCTTGACAGGATCAGTGGTACTGTTTACTATATTCCTATATTACTTTATGCATAAAATGTTCCTTACATTTCATGTAGATCGAAAAAATTAACAAAGCCATTATATTGTCAGACTTTATTTTATGATAGAAGAGAATAGACAGGGTTTACTTGATATTAAGTGAAATAAACCAGCGATATAACATTTAAACAAGATTCGCAGTGGGCCTATTTTGCTTTTGGATATTCGGAAATCAACAAACTAAACCCGCAATGCGATTAAACGACGGCTTTTTCATCTATGAAATTTCCATATTCCCCCCACCCATTTGATATCAAATATGCTTCAGAAATTAAGAAATTATTATTTAACAATTAAATTGA